TACAACATAAAAGACTTCCCAGGCTAGTTTGGAGAAATGGATGCTCAAAAGGCCTACTACTTTTTCATGTAATGCTTTGCATGTTCACTAGGGCCTAGGCTTCAGCTAGCACAGACTGTTGTAGCTCCAAAATCAATAAGCTCTGAAATGCGCATCAGCTGAAGATCTACCACCTATTTCTTTACATTATCTTTAGACTTTTACTGGATTTAGGACCTTTATTTCAGTGGGTAAAGAGAAGCAAGTCCTTTTTTATTGAAGAAGTGGGTCAGGAGGGAATAGTTTTGGCAATTCAGAAAAACAGGGTTGCTGCTTGAACTTTGTAATTCGATTCACCCAGGGCTGGACCAGCTGGAGATGAAGACCACATGGCATGTAGCAGCACTGTAGCTGCTGGGTGTTCATTCACAGGTGAGATGCTCTCATGCTAGCCCTTTGAAGTTGTTCCACTTTGCTGGAAATAATTAAATGCTTACTGAATAAAGCAAGTTAAAAAGAATGAATTCGCTTCGATAATCTGTTGGATTGGGCACTCACCTGCGAGATGGATAAGAAGGTGAAAATCCAAACGATATTAGGAAGAAAAAAAATTGAGAAAGAGTACTGAGGTGTCACTCAGATGTCTTTTTCTGTTACTTTTTACAGGAACATTTTTGCCAGAGTTTGAATCCCCACTGAAAGAGCTCACTGAAGCTAATCCTCTGAGACTGACTGTGTTTTCTAAGTGGGAAATGGATACAGGATAAACAGACAATCTGCTGTTGGCACACAGCCCTCTCTGCCATGGTGTAATAAAGTCTTATCATCTGCAGCAAGGTTCTTCAATGGCTAAGCTCCTTCTAAAGCTGAAGGAGAACTGAGCACCATAACTGGAAATCCGATAATGGCACCTATAAATAAAGGATTTCTATTTGCACAGCTAACAGCAAATGAAATTATTTTTAGTGATTAAATAAATTATTTAAAAAAACCTGGTTCAAACCTTAAGCTTTTTTTGGGAGAAGACTTCTAGAAATTTTCATACTTGTTAAAACTTTTGGAACTTTTGGGAGCATGCTTTCACTGTGGAATATTAAAAATCAGCTAATTAAAAGCAATAGGAGAACTGAGGACACCATGACTGGCTTAATATAAATGGACCTTTCATGAGAAATTTTGAAGGAGGCACTAAGGTGAAGAGCTCAGTGTCAGTGAAAGAACAGCATCTATCACAGATCATTCAAAATCGTTTCAGTTGTTGAGTGTTAGCCTGTTAAATTTCTTCCTAAAAGAACAAGGGGGTTTGTTGTTTTTCTTTGATTACTGCCTCTCCATTTGAAGAAATCCTACAAAAAAAGATTTGATAGAAATATTTCAATGATTTTTATTTTGTTTTTTACAATACAGAGGAGTGGTTAACTTTCAGCACTTTTCTGTCAACACTGTAGTGTACCAAATATATGAAACCCAAAGTGAAAGGTAATTGTTCTATTTTCATAGTCAAACTTAAGCCTAACAAAAAAAGTGAAATAAGACCATAGAATCACAGTATGGAAGTTAAAGATCATCCAGTTCCATGGGCAGGGACACCTTCCACTAGACCAGGTTGCTGCAAGCCCCATCCAGCCTGGCCTTGAACACTGCCAAGGAGCAGCCACAGATTCTCTGGGCAACCTGTACCAGGGCCTCAGCACCCTCACAGGGAAGAACTCCTTCCTTACATCTAATTTAAAAACCAATAGGGAGAACCCAATTTGAGTTCCCTTTTGCCACTTTAGCTGCAGCTGACTCATATTCAGCACCAACGAGCTGTTCATTTCCACATGCTACTTAAGGTAACCTTCTGGTATCTTTTGGTTCCTTCTTGTGGGACATATTGTGTCTATGGTTTGTTCTTTTTCTTTTCCTGTTCCATGTTGCCATTTTCTTACTGTGTTGCTTCTAGGAAATGTGGTTACTCTGTTCCTCATAGAGCCTTTTATCTGTCTGTTTGCTCATGTGTACCCAGCTAATTGGTATAGTTTCCATGAAATTATCAGCAAGTAGGTGTGCTCACCACAAATGACTAAGATTGTTCTTAGTAGAAATGGCCACACCATATTCTGAAAGACAATCCACTAGATTGTGGAAAGGCTTTGGGAAAATTAGCGGTGAATCTGATGGGACCAGTAGCATTACCTCCTTGCTTTTCCCTGCGGATGAATATTGATTTTAAATATGCTCTAGGTTCTAACAGTCTGTTAGCCACATATCTGAGGATTTTTTCTCAAGGTCAGACTATAGTTCTTAAAGTAGCACCATTATTTCCTTATTCAGTGGAAAAGAAGAAAGCTGATTCTTTGAACTTATGAATTAGTCAGAGCAGACAGTGTTGACAAGATGTAATTGCTGCTTCAATTGAGAGGAAAGGTAATGCCTCTGTTGTTTTGAAGTTCTTTAAGAAACTCTCTTGTGATCTAAAGCTAGTCATCTTAGACAAGCAATTTGCTCCTGAGTGATAAGAACCTTTCATAAGCTTTGCATTGGCTTACAAAAAACACCCCAGTCCGAAAACAGAAAAGGGAATTAAAGTCAGAAGCCACTCCTTAATCTCTTCTCAGTTATACAGTGTAGGCTTGTGGGAGTGGGACAAACTTCTGTCCAGTTGCTCTCCTTTAGCTCAAGCAACAGCAGCAGTCCCTACCTGAACTTAAGGTAAGGCTAAAAAACATTATTTTCACTGATAGTCAATATTAAGCTTTGAAATGTGGAATAATCCCATCCCTGACCTAAGCTGGCTATCAGTGCGTGCCCTAATATAGAAAGATCATTTCATTGTTTCATTAAGCCAATTATCTCTGACTTGTACTCATATTCTACTAAATGTATGATCCCTTTCTGCCAACCTACCATCCAAATTTGACTGCAGATAATGAGTTGCTTCCATGGACTTCAGTAGGCGTGGTGCATGTAAAAGAGGAATTGGGCCATCATTTGCCTGTGCAGTTCCCTGGTGGACAGGATGACATGGCTTTAGCTACAGGTTACATGAAACCTGTATACTTTTTGTCTTTTAATCTCAGAGAGCATATCTTTGCTGTATTGTGAAGAACAGTAGATATGAACCAATTTGATTTTGTCAAAATTTTTATTACAGATATCCCAAATGTGTCCCCTTTTACTCCTCTGCATTACAGACTAAGTTTAATCCCAGTCTTTCAAATCCCTTTTAATAGCTAGCCCACCCCTCTGTGCCTCATTTAGGTTTTCTTCATTTCGGGTGCCCCATTAACTAACGCTGTCATAGTTTTCCCTGTTAAATTTCTTTAATATATCTTAGCATCTTTTTTATTTCTTTGTACTTCTTTTTTTATTTTTAATTAAAATTTGTCTCAGCACTGAATTGCTTTTTCTACTGAACACTTCTCAGTTACTCATAGATTTTTCTTGCTTGGTGACAGCTAATTCAGAACCCATCAGTGGGCTGGATTCATCTGGTTGTTGCACTGCATGAAATGAAACAGTTCTATTGAAGTCAGTTGGGTAAATCTGAAGTTTATGCTGGCACAAATGAAATAAAATACTGTCCTGGGGTGACCAAGAAGCTTATTGCATCCCTACCAAAAGCCAGATCTGCCTGTCCAGTTTACTTTTTTTAGTTAATTATTTAGTTTGATGTAACTGAAGAATGGGGTAAGTTTCATGAATGTATTATGACAACAAATATGCCTACATTTATAAATTGCAAAAAGACATAATATATAACTATTTATAAAATTTTAAATATGTAATCCTTGTGTAGCACTCAGTGTGATGGACTTTCACCCTGAGATGTCTGAGCACTCATCGACCTATTAGTTAGAGATGAAGTGAATTATTTGGCCGGATCCTTCATCTTTTCTGAAGCTGGATCTTTCAACAATATTGTGAGTGATTAGGCACATAAGGAATAAAAAAGCCATACCCATGGTGTAACTAGAAAACTGGAATATGTTTTAACGTGCTGCAACACCTGTCAATATTCCACAAACTTCATCTGCTGCCATGAAGTTCAGTCAGACTCTCTTTGACTCTTTTTGAACCCCACTGGCATCAGTGGTTTTGATGATGTGAAATAGTTTGAAACTGTTTGTGTGATCTTGTGTAAACACACCCTTGAAATTTGTTTTTATAATAAATTATTTTATCCATATCTTACCTGATGGAAATGAATCCTGGTTTCATACTGTCAGGACAGCTTAGAAATACAAGTTTTCATATTTCAGTGTTGCAATTAGTTTATTTTGAATTATTTTGCTAGTTGTCAGTTACAAATATTTAAGAACTTTTTTCTTTTTTTTTTCTTCTTTCTGTTAGCTGACAAACTCCTGTAATGACATTGCTCTAATATCTTATTTTCTCTCTGAATGGTTTATGTCATGCTGGCCTTGTCCAAACTAGCAAAGGTCTCAAAGCTGGCAGGTATATAAAATACTGTATAAAAAGGCTTAAGTGTAACATTGCTTGAAAGAGTCCAGTGGATGAGGAGAGGCTGAGGGAGCTGGGTCTCTTTAGCTTGGAGAAGAGGAGACTGAGGGGTGACCTCATCAATGTTTACAAATATGTAAAGGGTGAGTGTCAGGATGATGGAGCTAGGTTTTTTTCAGTGATGTCCAGTGATAGGACAAGGGGCAATGGGTGTAAACTGGAGCATAGGAGGTTCCATGTGAACATCAGGAAAAACTTTTTTTACTGTGAGAGTGACAGAGCACTGGAACAGGTTGCCCAGGGGGGTTGTGGAGTCTCCTACATTGGAGATATTTAAGGTCCGCCTGGACAACTTCCTGTGTGATGTACTCTAGGTTACCCTGCTTTTGCAGGGGGGTTGGACTAGATGATCTTTTGAGGTCCCTTCCAACCCTTGGGATTCTGTAAATCAAAACACCTTTAGAAAAAAAAAAAGGGGAGAACAAAGGATTGTGCTTTGAATCTCAGATATAAAAAAACAGATACGCACTAGCTAATTCTCACTAGTAACGTCTGATTTTACTTTGTCTTTAAAGGGAAAACCGGCCACACAGAGACTGTACGAGTAGTGTATCAGCCAGAAAACATCAGCTTCGAGGAATTGCTCAAGGTCTTCTGGGAGAATCATGACCCGACACAAGGTAGAGTGATGAGCGAGCCAGTATTTAATTATCTTACTAATTACAGCTGGGATAATTAGTGTTTGAGCTGCGTGGAAGAGATGAACCTTGAAATCACACTGGAGCTCAGGAATATGATTGCAGACATTTATTGACAGAGAAAGAGAGGGAGAGAGAGAATGAGAGTACAGAAATGCACAATACCCCTCCTCCTTTACAGCTGTCTGTGCTGGGAAAATTCCCACAGAGAGGCACAGTAGACAATAGATTTTTTTTTTCAACTTTGATTATGACAATTTCTTCTGTAATGCTCTCTTTTGTCTCTTTTAAATTAAAGCATATTTCTTTGCAGCTTCAGAGCTGGCCTTTTTATTTGTGCAGAGGACCTTTAATCCTTCATAAAAAAAATTGTTTGTTTTTTTATATTTTTCAATGGCAGTGGATATCATTTATGATTAGAAAAAGGGAACAAAATGAGGTAAGAGATGGTGTGTAGAGGCACCACCGGAGCATTCTAGTTATTTGCCTTATTCAAACCTTTTGATTTAATTTATCTTTCTTGGAAGAGGCTTCATGATGACATTACACACATCTGTGCAAACAGAAATGGGAAACTGTGTTGAGAAAACATTTTACATGTTTGTATAGTTTCAGTAAACGTCATCCTTTCTACCATTTCCCAGAAACACTACCCACAGTAACTCATCGCAATATTTTAACAGCTATCATAATTATGCCACTTGTTACTACATCTGGAAACAAACAAAAAAAAAAGCAAATAACATCCTAGGAAACAGTTAACTCTGAGAATTGGGTTACTGTGGGTAAGTGTCTTCCAGTGACTCCTGTATGAAAAGGGAAGCCTTAGTCAGGTGTTTGAAGCTATTTTCTGTATGCAGAGTTAGTAAAATCAGAACATTTTGTGCAGTTTCTGTGTTGACATACCAGTAATTACACTGAAATGTTGCTGGGGATTCAAGGAAGGGGCACAAAAAGGACATAGAGCCTAGAAAACTGGCCTGTTGCTCTGAATAAACATATTCAACTAGTTGAAGAGAAAAAGAAATGATCAAGTAATCTTTACAGGTGCATATGAGAGGAGCAGATACCTTGTAGTGAGGTTGACAACCCAATGACTAGTAAAGCCATAAAAAATCCCATAGTTGAAAGCTGAAGTTTGAGAAGTTCTACCTTAGAATAAAATAGTTTTACAGCTTTTAGTGTAATTAAACATTGGTGTCCTTTTCCAGCACTATCCTTTTGAATCATGAGAAGAAATTATGTATCCATGTGTCGTGTGATGGCCTGTATTGTTGATTTATGAACCTCCCTTTTCAATTTCTTCCTTTATGGTTGTGTTCAGAGTAAGTTACACCATTCTTGAGATACTTGCAGCTCTGAATTAAGACAATGATCATCTTTAAATCGTGCTTCAGGGCCTTTGTGGCTTATTTGTAAGGGTCAGGAAGGAGATTTTCTCCCTATCCTACCAGTAGTTGTGTTTAGGTCTTTTTTTAATCAATTTTTCTTTGGATTGTCAGAAACTAGCCATCACCAGAGGCTGGCTTCTTTGGAATGGGCTGGTTGTTTTGATATAGCAGAGAATCCTATTTTCGGATAATTGGTTCATGTGTCTTGTTCACATGTTCAGCAGATCCTGAATGCTAGAGCTGGGAACTAATAAGCAGGACTATAGGATTCTTTGCCTTCCAAAGCAGTATGAGGAATGGATTTCTGTTGAAATAATCTGGGCAACTACCACCTAATGAGTTATCTGCCGTGTCTGTAATTTTGGCTTTGAGAGTGTATGGTTGGACTTTGCCTGTGGCACACATGAAATAGGGTCAGTCTCTAAAGGACTTCAGTGCTTAAGGCTGACCGTAGTTCTTATGCTGGATCCAATATGGATGAAGTGTAGCAGTTGTGATAACAGGTCAAATGAAATGAAGTTATCGTTCCTTCTGGCTTTAAAACAAAGTAAAATGATGACATTATGTCTTCATATTCCCCTTGCATTCTCATGTAACTGAGGTTCAAAATAGTTCCAGTCTGTGCTTTCAGAAGAAGGTTGGATACTGGCAGATGTATGATTCACTCTTTGATTTCTGGCAACTGGGGAAAAATCACCTAATTAGCCCGGGCACAGAGCCACACTAATGTGGCGGTATTCCTTCTGGGATGTGAGCTAATATCTGTGTATGACACTGAGCTGTGTAGATACCCAATTCATTCACAACTGTCTCAGGCATCTGCGTTGCACTGTAGTGATTGGTGTGAACATGCGTAACCCTTTATCTAAGCTTGGTTCAGTAGAATTTCCAAATGGTTCTTCTGTAATAATTTGCAAAATGTGAGTGCATCACTCTCCACAGAGCAGATGACACTCTTCTCTGAAGGCTTTACATATCCAAAACTTAGACAGGTTGCTTTACCAATGTATTCTTATGGTTCTTTAATACTAATATCTGTTTGAAAACTTTGCAAAACTCATTTTTGCAAAGCTGTACCACCTTTCTTGATTAAGGAAAACCTAAACCACACAGTCCCAATTTCAAGTTCTTTGTTTTGTAAGATGGAAATGTTATGCTTATATACCCTTTTAAGTTTGAGCAGTAGAAGATATTTAAGGTGGAATTATTTCTTTGCCTTAGTTTGTGTTTACTCCCTGCCTTTAACTTGCTACGGGAAATGTGGTTTTATGTATAGGTGCAAAAAGTGAGAGTTATTTCTCTCACTCATGATATTTCTCTCCTTTCCTGAGGTTCAGTGACGTGCACACAGTAAATCTTATTTAGCCAGCCTTACAGTAATGCAAATCTGTCAAAGAGAAGTTTTTTTACTAAGCAGATAAATTTTTGGCACACTTTTTGGATAAATCCAGCATAGGCAGAGAATGTTGGACTTCTTGAGTATAGTGCTCACTCAAAAGTTTAAAAGCTTTGTCTGTGGCATTATCTTACCTTTTCTCTAGAAGCTGAATTAATGTCATATAAGCCTTCCTACCCCCAACAGCAATTATGTACTTGTCTAATTGTTCTGATGTTGTTAAACATCAAATATGTACGTTCTGTTGCAGTTAAAGACCTTTCAAATATCAATCTAGATGGTACACAGTTGCTTAAGTGTACAAACTGGAAGTCCTATATATTAATATTCAAAAGTTCCTGCTTTCTGAACAGTTGGCCTCCTGCCTTTAAGACGAGACTGTCATCTCACTGGGATTCGAATTTTCTCTTGGTGGCAGTCTGGTTCTTGTTTCATGAAGCTCTTGAGTCTGAGTATTATACAGAAGTATATTGAAAAGCAGGAACCTTTGATCAAGTCAAACAACCTAAGAGATTCTCCCAGATGAGCATCTCATAAGTGTAAGGCCCTGATAAAGTCCTCCTTGACTATTAATTTAGGCTTTATTTTATAATTCATTACATTTGGGATATGGGAAAAGCAACAAACAAACCCCCCAACTTCTGCCAAGTGACATATGGTTGTCATCCCTGTTCAGCCTATAATGCACAGATGAGCATTCTTTCTGTCCTGGGAATAATCTTGTCTATATGAGGACTGGTATGTATAGCTCTATAAATGCTTCAAGTGTTTGCTTCTTTGACATTGATACAGAAAAGAGAATGAATGTGAAAATACTGAAAATGCTGAAAATACTGGGAAAAAATCATACATAATCTTATTTTTCTAAAGTTTATAAAGGTTTAGGGATTATGTATTGCCTTGTTTTTTGCACTAAAGAGGCCATTCTCAGCACCTTCCAGATTTTTAATTTATATACCTTAAAATTGCACCCCGACAGTGGTTCTGCTGCACCTCCATGCTGTCTGTCTAAAGGGATGTGGATTTTCAGACCTCCAGTTTGTCTGTATTGTGCCTCAACCAGTAGTTCCATGATTGCTATAAGCTAATCTTTGACTTGACTGTTAGGGAAAAGGGCAATTTTCTTCTCTCTCCCTGACCTGTCTGCAGGATGCAACCTCTTTCTTTGTGTTGACATTGTCAGTCGCAACATTCTCTGATCAAGCTGAAAATTAACCCGGCATGAATTGAAGTGAAATGTAATTTTCAGCCAGGACTTCAACTGCCAGGAGCATGACTGCTGGTGGGACCACCCTTCTGGCATTAGCACTATCCTATAATGTGTGAGCCACCTGCAAAATCCAACTGTGCTTATGGTCAGGGAGGAAGATGGCATATTTTATCTGATCAGAAAGTTTGGCCACTCTTTGTGCGGTGTCAGAAATTATTTCTCCAACTCTTTGGAAAAGTCTATCTGATATCAAAGGAGTTTGTTTGTCACTGTGCAAATGTGACTCCTGTAAAGCGTATTGCTGTTCATAATTCCCCTGAACCTGTGTGTGGTCGATGTCCTACTTGTGTCAGAGATTTCAGTCCAGTCCAAAGGGCTCCTTGTTGCTTTCAATGACTGTACAGGAGAAAGGCAGAAGACAAACCAAAGCCTATTTATTTCTCCTTAAAACATGTTTGAGGCAAATGAAAATTCTACTTGCCTCCTTTAGATCTTTTCTCTCTTGAACACAATCCAGAATGGGTTCTTGCTTTGATAGCTCTGCTCCCCATATTTCTCAAGAGTACCTAATCCTTCCCAGCCCACAAGAAGTAACTTAGGTACAACTACCATTCTCTGGAGTGGGCCCCTGATGTACACAAATCCCATCCTTTTTTTATTGCTGCTTCTGTTTGGATTTTTTACTTAGTTGGGAGGAACTGAGAGGAAGCCAGGCCTCCATAGTTCTGCCTGCCTTCTGACAGTGGGGTGAAGGGTGAAGGCACCCATGGTCACTGCTCTCCAGGAATTTCTGGAAATTTTCTCCTAGCCTTATTGATTCTTTGAGTGCAAATTTACGAAGAACCTAAGTTGCTGGTAAGTAATCTCATTCCTCCCTTCTGTCATGAAGAAGTCCTTATCTTGCCTGTGTTTGTACAGGAGATGTAAGCAGAACTGATATTTTTCCAGCAGTTGAGGACCATCTGTACTACAACAAACTCATCAC